GAACTGAATCCTTTTGTTACAAAAGAACTGTGGAAACTGGCAATACTTGAATGAGGCCAGAGATTAGATAGCAGTTAATACAGCACAGTTAATTTTCTGACTTGGATGGTTATATTATCGCTAAGTAACAGAAAGTCCTTGTCCTTGTATTTGTTTGGTAAGACTGCATCTGCAACTGAATTTCAAATGATTTAGGGAAGAAAAGTATTAGAAATGTACTTGGAACTTTTCTGAAAATTTGATTTTTTTTAGCACATCTTTATACATATATAAAACATACTGCATCTAAAACTTGTGTGTAATCAAAGCAGCACCTTCAAATACTGAAGAACATGTTTTCATCTCTTTTTATAAGGTTCTGCTTTTTTATTTATGAGATTCTCAATGACCTTTGATCTCTAACTGTGAAATCCAATAAAGTAACCACTATTCCATTCCCTAGTGGCCCTGGCCCATTTCAAGTGCTTCTTAGCCACTTGTTGCTATCACCTACTGTACTGGGGCAATACAGATACAAAGCATTTCCATCATCACAGAAATGCCTACTAGACAGCAATGATCTAGAGTTTGGGAGGTCAAGTGATATAATGAATTCTAAAAGCCAAAGAGTTAGTTGAACCTAGGCATGGAGATTGAGCAAGTACTCTGATAATAAGTCATTTAACCTATAGAGCCTCAGGCCCATGTCTGTGAGATAAACTAATACATCTAATACTACAAAGATATCGAAAAGATCAAACAGAATTTATGTAAAGTTTCTACAAAAAAATGAATGAAAAAATAAAGTGTTCACAGCAGAATGGCTGACATAGTAAATATTTGATTTGCTCTCTTCTGCAATGCAGATGGATAATCTCTTAAAAGGTGATCTCCGAACTTTTAGAAGTGGTTGAGTAATTGCATAAGTAACTGGTTGAAAATAAGAAGCTTACTATACTACTTTCTCAAGAGGCTAATGAGCTCCATGTTGTTATATACAAGGAAAAACTGCAGTTCTCACCTTTCTTATCAACGCTCGACTCTTCTGACTATACTCCCCTGGAAACACTCACTTCCTTCTTCTCTGACCCCCACAATACTCTTTGGGAGCTCACCTTTCTTCCAGTAAACTTTTTATGTGTAAGGCCATTGTGGTTCCATTCTAAAGTATCTCTTTTTTTCCAAGTTGTTCTTTTTTTTCCAAGGCAATCTCACCCACACCTATAATTCCAATTACCTATACAGTTAATTCCAATTTTCTATTTCCAGCACAGGCCCTTCCTCTGAATTTTAGAACCACAGATCTAATTGCATGGAGAATTTCTACATGGAAGCTCCAAAGACACTTTAAACCCAATTTGTTAAAAGCAAAAGAGCTTCTGTCCTTATTTGGTACCACTCTCAACTCACAAGTCATCTTTTGAAATTTCTCTCTCCCAAACCTAGAATATATCAATTGAAATCAATTAATCTCAAATCCTATCCACTTAGCCCATCTCCAAGATCTTCATCTCTCCCAGACTATTACCAAAAGCCTCCTAACTAATCTTTCCAGGTCTACTCTTCCTTTCTCTTCTTCCTTTTAATATGCATAACCAGAATTGTAGTTCTATTTTGGAATTACCAAAAACAAGTCTAATTTGGCTTCTAAATGACAACATTTTTAAGAGTTATTACCACTCTACTCTTCGCTAAGCATTCTTAAGTCTCTTCTATATTTTGATAAATGACAGTTTCAAAGTCACAAACTGCCACACTCTCCTTTAAAAATGTGAATCCGCTTTACGTGGACATGGTCCATATGCGTGAATACAAGTAACTTGGCAGTTTAAACAACTGGGTTAGACTGACATAATCTAAAGTTTAAAACCACAATTACTAGTTTTAATGCTTATAGCAGAAAACATATTAATTCACTAAATATTTAAGTACCTACATGTCATGTGTTGTTCACATATTTATGATTTGTGACAAAGTGACAAACCATGTTCTCAGAGAAGTAACATTAGACTGAAGAAATACAATAAATTTTAATTGGCATATTAGGTTAAATTAACAGTAGTATGTTGGAAAGTGATAAAATGCCATGGGGAAAAGTCTGGCATAGAAAGTAATAAGAAGTCAGGCGCCAGCGGCTCACATCTGTAACTCTACCTCAGGAGGCTGAGATAGGAAGAATCGAGATATGAGGCCAGTCCAGGGGTAAAATAGTTTGTGAGACTCTCATCTCCAAAATAACCAGAACAAAATGGACTGGAGGTGTTGCTCAAGCAGCAGAGTACCTACTTTACAAGTGCAAAGCACTGAGTTCAAACCCCGGTCTCATTCTCACACACACACACACACACACACACACACACACAAAAATGGAGTAGGAAATGCAGGTATGTTGTTGTTTCATACAGAGTAGGAGGAGACCTCAGTAGCAGACTAGAAATGTGACTGGAGAAAGAATGAGGAGACAAGCCAGAGAAGAAACTCAAATACCCCAGAGCTTTGTAGCCAACAGTAAAGACTATGGGTTTTAACTATGACTGAGAAGAATAGCCATAATCTGACACATTTTATAAGAATCATTCTGACTGATAACTATTAAAGGTCATAGGGATTTTTTTAGGCAATTATTTTGGTGGTGTTTTTACATTTTACACTGAACTTTTATGTGCCACAACTTAAAAAAATATATAATGCAAAGATAATTCTTAGAAATAGCAACAAAATGATACTGGATATTTTAACTCTGGGCTCAATTCAGTGCTACTAATAGTCATTGCTCAGATGTACAAGGTGCAAAGCTACCAATTTATTCTCAGGGAAAGAGAATATTGAGAATTTGGGCTTTAAGTTTATTTCATTCAATGGGCAAGACCCGCCAAGATCCACTTTACATCACTTAAAGACAAGCAGATGCTGGCTGAGGTTGCTAAAAAGGTAAATTAAGGTGAAAATTATTCTATAACTGACTTTTTTACTTTTATGCCCATCACCCTCTTGAGTTAGGGCTTTAAGGTTTTACAACCATCTCTCACTGATGCACAAAAAGTGAAGTACAGTATTAAGTTGATGGGTAATATAGCATTGTATTTTCTTATTACTAAAGCTGTTATTGATGATGAATCAACACTATCAGGTAACTAAACTGATTCATCCTGTCTTTGCTGATTAACAGCAGTTTTTAAGAAAACTGCCTAAAGTATTGCTTAGTGCTCAAAGGAAGCTCAGTATCTCTTGTTTCCATCTTAACCCGTGAGTCCCATTACCATGAAGATACTACAGGGGAAAAATTCTTAAAATTTTCCGGATGCACATGTTTTCAAGCAACATAATGAGAACAATTTTACATTTTCTTCTATAGCATTTTTCTCCTTTGGTATATTGAAAGGCTATCCTATAGCATGAGTATACTCTCAGAGTAAGGAAGCGTTCAAACATTACACCACCGAAATCTTAAAAATGTACTTAAAGTCCGCAGACAAAAGTCATTGAGTATGAAACGTATTTTACAAGAACCAAAAAATATTACAACTAAAGTGAAGCTACAATAAGAACTGCTCATCTTTAAGAAACTCAACTGCGTAAACCTGATGATGCAAATAAATTCAGATTATCTTTAGTAAGCTGGTATAACGCAAAAGAAAACCAAAGATATTTTCATTTTTTTCTGTCCAATCAGTTAAAACAACAGTAACAAAAACAAAAAGGCCTACAAACCTTTTCTTGCAGATTTTAACAATAGCAAAACAGTGACGATATTAAGCCAAATGCCGAAGAAGCAGGAAAGAGAAAGTAATGGGCTGGAAAGGGAACTGATTACCCGCTAAATTTTTAATACAAGTTAAAAAAAAATTATTTAAGAACCTCTTGCCTTCAATATTGTGCAGGCTGAAACAAGTACTCATATGCATGAATTAACTTTTTCAAACGGAGAAAATGAGTTTTTAAGATGCTTTTCCCAAATTTTAGAGAACATTCCCAAACTGGTGGAAACTGATAATCAGCGTCTACCAGCCAAAGCATTATATTAAAAAAAACTCTTTTCATCAGTTTCGCTTCAGTATTTTAGTTCGCTGGTAGTATGATAAAAGTGTTGGTCGCAATGTAACCCAAAATGAATGAAAAACGATCCAGATCTATAGAGGGGATACTTTAAAATTCGCCACTTCAATCTGTATTTTCACCCAGTATAACCACCAGGCTTCTTAAACAATTTTTTCCAAAATACGTGTGGGTGACAAGAGGCCAAAAGTGTAAGAGATCTACAGGGCTCAAAATTCCCAGCCTAAGGAGGGGAGAGTGATTCGGCTGGGGTAGTTGTCAGCCTGGGCAGCTGAGGCGGGGTGGGGGTGGGGAGGCGCAGTTTGAAGTTCTGGACCGGCAGGGGGTAAAAATTCCGGCCGATGCTGAGAAAGCGCCGACTCTTCCCTATCCGCGTACTCGAGAGGTCGCAACGTAGTAAGTTTGGTTTCACGAGCGCGCTGGGGCGCTAGCGACAAAAGCAAAGTCTCCCTAGCAAAGCTGACACCGGAGTCGGGAGCGCCCAAGAGCCCTGCAGGACACGTTTGCACGGCAGGAAGGGGGTGTCCGCGACGGTTCCCTACCACGGCGTCCCCTTCCCGCCTCCCTCCACCCCCGCCCCCCGCCTCCAGCAAGGCCCGGCACCGGGCGGGGACAGGCTTCGCGGGCTCGGGCGGCGAGTAGGCCATAAGGAGGAAATGGGACGGGGTGCAGAGGGCGAGGCGGCGGCGGCAGGCGCGGGCTGGGCTGTTCCTCGCGGGGAGCCACAGGGAAGTGGGGCCCTCCCGGCTGCAGCCTCCCCTGCCTGGAACGGCAGCGCCAACTTTCCTCCCAGCGCGGGGCGGCGCCTGGGCCGCGCGAGATCCCCAAACTTTGTCCGTCCTGGCGTCGCAGGGCCCGCTTCCCCGCCCAGCCCTGCCCCTCACCCCCGCCTCGTCTGCAGCCGCCCAAGCCCATCCACTACCTTCCCCCTCCCTCCTCCTCGGGGTCGGGTCGTGTATTTTTACCTTAGGCCGAGGTCGAGGCGATCTCTCCGGCGGCGGCCCCACCGCAGGAAGCTAAGTCTCCGTCACTCCACCACTAAGTTTCCCCAACATGGACTCCTCCGTCTGCTTTGAGGTGTTCCGCGGGCGCTAGGGCGCCAGGTCGAGCGGGCAGCAAAGCAGGGAGCGGACCCGGGTTGCGCTGCTTCGCGCGGCTTGCGCCACCGCTGTTTCCCCCCTCCTCCGCCTTGTCTGGCCTCCTCCCTCCCCTGCCTTCGCGTCGCGTCTTCACCCCCACCTTCCCCCGCCACCCCCTTCACAGTGCTCAGCCGCGCCGCCACAGGTCGGCGCGCTATGGTGACGACGGCGGCGGCAGAACCTGCCACTTTCGGCCTAGTCGCTCACACGGCCTCAGCGTGCACGTCCGCAGTGTTCAACGGGACCGCAGGGGGGCGCTGTCAAACTACCGTATGCGACGGAGGAACGTGGTGGGCGGAGCCACGTCGCGTGGCCTGTGAGCTGGAGGAAGGGCAGCTCCGAGTAGCGGAGGGTTCTGGGAAACATCCTTCCCAAGCCCCACCCTCTGGCCACGCGGCGCGCTGTGCGCATGCGTCATGCATGGACCTTGGCTGCTGCTTTGGTGGCCTGAAGGGGTGCGTCGTTGAGGACAATAAGGCTGCTGAGAGACTGCATGGGCGGGGTTGCGCGACGTACGCTCTTCTCTCTGCAATAGCCTGTTATCGAAAAGAGTGTTAGTACGTCGTTGGCGGCGGATTGCGTTTCCACATGGCTGGGTTGCCCACCTGAAACGCATCCCGCAGGGAGGCTGAAGCGTCAGCACGTTGTAAAGCCCACTCCTGATGGCATGTGCAAAATACCCTGACGAGACTGCCCCCCGTGACGTGTGGAGCCTAGGGAATACCCCTGTCTTAATCGCACACTCAAAAAATTAAACTTGGTCAGGAGTAGCTCTTAAAGACCTCCACTTCTGGTTAGTAACACGTGATTACTCTTTACATAATTGTGCCCGCGGTACGGTACGAAACGTGAGTGCCATGGTGGGTGGCTGCCCTGGCAGGTCGTCGCATCTTTAATGTTGCCTCAAATGTCTCTGCAGACATTCTTTTCAGTCACCGGCTCTTTAACGGGTGTTTTGTTTTCTGGACAGTTTCCGGCTCCTTTGTCCCGCGCGCAGCTCCCGCCGCCCCGCGGATTTGGCTCAGGGGTCTCGGCGCGCGCGGCCGGCGGGGCCGCTCCTCCCGCTGCGCGCCGCGCCCTGCGCCCCGCGTCTCCCCGGCGTCCCCGCACCCCGGCCTCCGACGCTTGTCCCAGACCACGCGGGTCTCCGTCCCCCGCGCCCGCACACCAGGCTGCGTGGCGGCTGCTTGTGCGTGTGTCACTCTGACCTTTGGGGCAATGTCTTACCTCATCCCGAACAGGGCCGGGCACTTAGGGAGAACTCGGTAAATAACTGCGGGAGGAATGAATACATGAGCGTCCTTGAAAGTCTCTGCTGTTTTACAATGTGTTGTTTTGATAATGAGGTTTGGGAATTCAGATGGAACCTTTGAGGGAGCAGTGACCTAGATGACTTCAAATACCTTTATCTGATGGAACAAAATTCTTATGAAAGGCCTTTCCCTGTCACTATCAGAACAAATAGTACTTTGTAAAGAATATAAGGACGGTGGTTAAGAGAATCGCTGTTGAGAGAAGTAGATGATATAACCACATCAACAAGCACTGTTAGGAGCCATCCAACAGAAAGTGAGGGTGTCGCTTTCGTGTGTACAGTCTAGCATTCACCCTAGAGAGTCCTGCCTCCAACAGTAACTTCTGTTGCGGTCTACTGCAACACTCTTCTGTGTGTTTTGTATTTTTTAAATTTTTTTTTTTTTTGAGACAAGGTCTGGCTACAGATATGCACCCGTCTCTAGATCCTGCCTTGGCCTTCCTAATGCTGAGATTACAAGCATGTACCTCCATGCTAGGCTGAAAACTAATTTTTTAGTTGATAGTACCAGTAAAGTTATAATCAGCTTAAAAAAAATAATGCCATATCTTTGTATGTTGGGGAGGGTACTGGGGTTTGAACTCAGAGCTTCACACTTGCTAAGCAGGCGCTCTACCACTTGAGCCAGCCCTCCAACCTTTTTATGGATTTATTTACTAGCAGGGATTTTTTTTTTTTCCCGGGTACTGGGGCTTGAACTCAGGGCCTTCACCTTGAGCTGCTCCACCAGCCCTTTTTGTTTTGGGTATTTTCTAGATAGGGTCTTGCAAATTATTTGCCCAGGCTGGCTTTGAACCACTATCCTCCTGATCTCTGCTTCTTGAGTAGCTAAGATCACAGGCGTGAGCCACCGGTGCCCGGCAATTTTTCACTTTTAATTGACAAATAACTATATCTTTATGGGATACATTGCAGTGTTTCAATACATTGTGGAATTGTCAAATCAGGCTGATGAACAAATCCATCACCACAAATACTTATCATTTGTGTATATGTGTGTTGAGAACTTTTAAAATCTATTCTTTTAGCTATTTTGAAATATGCAATATATTATTATTAACTTTAGTCACCATGCTGTGCAATAAGACCACCAGAATCTATTCCTCACATGTAACAGAACCTTTGTGCCCTTTGACCACCATCTCCCCCTTCCTCAATACAAAATGCTCTTAAGAGAGGAGAGGGTAGTGATTTGTTACAGGCCATCACTTGTCTCCAGAGGGAAAAGACCATGTGTGTATTTCTATGTATACTGCATCTTCCTCATTATGTTTGCCTGATGAAAATTCATTATTCTCTTTGTTCTTTCAGTGTTTTTAAATTTACAATATAATAGATGTACAGAGTTTTAGATGAAAGATGAAGGAGTAAAGTTGATACAGCTGACATCATTGTCAATATTTTAAATATAACTATAACCACAAAAAGCTAAATGTTACACATCGTAAAACTGGCTTCAACCAAATGCACATTTGGTGTGTTGCACTTTTCCTAGGTACTTAAATTATCAGTCTTGTCGTAGGACAGCCAAAATCCATAGTGGCATCCTTTAAAAATAAAGAATAATCTATTGATCTTGAAGCATTTGATCAGAAATAACTGCTATTATTAATTCAACTATTATAAACAAAAGGTAAAATAAAATTCAAATTAAGAGAAGAAATCATGGAATAATAGTCCTGGATTAAGTTAAAAATGTGATTCTGATACTGCCACTTAAGACCTTTGAAGTTTTGAATAAATCAACTAATTAGTTTGGTCTTCAGTCTTCATGTAACAGAGGAAGTTTTATTTTAATAATCGGCATTTTTGCAGCAGTAAATGTTATAAAATCAAAGGTTATACAGTGTAAAACTCATAATCAAAATGTGGCCAAATAATATCCGTGTGAAGAATAAAAAATGGATCCTATGAGGAAAGATTATTTTACAGGAATTCAGGGGCATGTTTTTGGTTTCCTTTGGATTGAGGGTGAGACAGAGCTTTTTTATGTCGATCATACTAAATTACCATTTGGCACAAGCTATTGTCAAACTTTCGATCTTCCTGGGATTACAGGTGTATACCACCACTCCCAGCTCCTTTACAGGAACTCTTTTAAGCCAGTAGTTTATTTCTGTTTTCACAAACAGGATAACCTTACCAACTGTTTTTTATGTGGATCTAAATTTATTTTGGCCATAATCAATGGAATATGTACTATCTGGGAACTGCTTCCAGGTGTATATATATATGTGAAGTTACTGAGTTCAGATCAGTATAAAAACAAACTAATGGCCGGCAGGTGGCTCATTCCTAGCTACTCAGGAGGCAGAGATCAGGAGGTTCATGTCTTGAAGCCCTATCTTGAAAATACTCAACACAAAAAAGGGCTGGAAGAGTGGCTCAAGTGGTTGAGCACCTGCCTGGCAAGGGTGAGGTCCTGAGTTCAAACCCCAGTAACCCCCACACACACATACACAAAAAAAAACCTAATGAAAAAAACAAATTAATGAAGAATTTAAGTGCCATGAAAGGAATATAAAACAAAGCCCAGAAGGGAGAAATTACAAATGAGATCAAGGACAGTATCCTATAAGCTAGTAATCTGATTAACATAAACAGGTATTATTCCAAATATGAAGTTCACATATGCTGGGATTAGTCTGCCATTCTCCACAGAACCTCTTGTACATTTTTACCACTCCTCTCAAGTCTCACTCCTCCTGAGCCCCAAGCCCCAAACCCACAAAAGATGTTACCACAGACTTTATAAGAAATAACCTCAATTTCTTTCCCTGTACTGCACATCTGTAACTATCCATATCCATGCATACTTGTTTTTCTTCCACCACCAAGGAAGAACTATCTCTTGTTTTAAGCTCAGCTTTCTACTTGTTTTGTAGAGCTGTTGTTTTTTCCAGACTTTGTGACTTGTAGACCATTTTGGAATGTATATAGGATGGCTAACTTTTTTTTCCCTCCTCCTACCCCATGTCTCCCTATCCACAAAGCAGACCAGGCTCAAGGCTTGGGTTGAAGTGTATGTGGGGTAGGTTGATTTTGCCGCCTCTTACAGTCAGTGTAAGAATACAGCCTGCAGTCTGCCTTCAATATTTTCAATGGCTCCTTTACGAGACACTAACTTACCTCTCCACTCCAGATCTAAAAATAGTTTAAATTTTAAGACTACTTCTTCATTTTAGTTTCTATTCACACTTTTTAAATGGTAACCATTAAAACACACAAAAGTATATAAGATATATTCATAAGAATATACTTTTAAAAATAGTTCTCTCCCTAGCTCAGTTGGTTTCTCTTAATACTTCTTCTGAATTTTATTTTGGGGGGTGTGTGTGTGTTGATGCTGGGGATTGCACAAGGATCTCACTATCATGCTAAGCAATTGTTCTACCACTGAACTATATTTCCAGTATTTTTAGAGGCACATACATATACAGGTTTACGGTTTTGGTTTTGCCAATAATCATACCGTAGGTATTTTTCTACAACTTTTTTTCTTACTCAACAGCTTATTATAGATACTCATTTATCTAGCTTATACTTTTAACTATATTATGTACCATAATTTTTAAATCATTTGTATATTGTTAGCTAATGCAGATTTGTCCCAATTTTGTACCATCATAATTCTGGAATAATTATCCTTATACATATATCTTTTTTTAACTGGGTGTATTTTTCCTATAGAATTGATTCCCAGAAGTGAGATTATTGAGACAAAAGATGTGTACATTTTATCATATAGATACTGCTTGTTAAGG